TTTCCTCCACACCATACATGATTTTACAGATCTCTAATATATCCTCCCTTAGCCCTGCTCTATACTAGGACCTTATTCCATAGTAACTCCCCCCGCAAGTTTGAATTTATAAGCAATGCATCTACATTACCAAGCCCATTATTTCCATATAATGGGCTGCAGAATTCACATTCTGTACTCCTCCTTTTCACAATGAGCAACACTAATGCTGAAATAGTAATTTCAAAATAACGTTAATATGGATGCTCCAGTGCCACTAATTCGAACTCACCTCCTGGAGGCCTCCTGCAGATCCCGAAAGTTCTTCCTGGGTCTCTAAGTCTGAAATAGCACATCCACATTAACAGAGTCTGCTTTGGACTAATTTCGGTGCTTCCCCGTAGTGAGGACATGCTAGTCTGAATTTGTTAAAACAGGAGTTCTTAAGTCAAATTTAGTAATTTCAAAATAGTTTCCTAATATAGACATGGCCACAGTGGTTTCTTTTCTAAGCTGAACAATCTCAGTTTTTACAATTGCTCCTTATATGGAAGCTGTTCTATACCCTGAATATTTTTTGTTGTCCTTTCCTGTATTTAGACCAATTCTAACATACCTTCTTTGAGATGGGGGTGACTAGAACTGCAGGCAGTATTCAAAGTATTCTCTTATCCCATGACTGTTTACTTTGCTTTAAAACATTTGGTGCGGGACTATGTCAAGGACTTTTAAAGTCCAAGTACACTATATCCTCTCCCCGACTTACGAACTGATTACAGACCAAGCAACTGGTCATAACTGAGTTTGTTCGTAAGTCGAACCCCATAGAGTTACACACGACCGCGCTGTTTGTAAGTGTGGATAGCGTTCGTAACTCAGGGTCCGCGATTTATGACAGCTTCAGTCGTAAATGCAAATGGTTGTAAGTCAACCGTTCACAATTAGGGTACCGGCTGTATCTTCACTGGATCACCCTTGTCAATGTGTTTGCTGATACCTTAAAAGAATTCTAATAGACTGGTGAGGTGTGATTTTCCTTTTCAAAAGGCTTGTGGATTCTTCCCCAACAAATTGGCTGTGTCTAGACTGGCAAGTTTTTCCGGAAAATCAGCAGCTTTTCTGGAAAACTGGCCACTTGAATTTCCGGAAAAGCACTGACGATCTCATGTAAAATCATCAGTGCTTTTCCGGAAAAACTATGCTGCTCCCGTTCGGGCAAAAGTCTTTTTCTGAAAGACTTTTGCCCAAAAGGGCCAGTGTAGACAGCATAGTACTGTTTTCCGCAAAAAAGCCCCGATCGCGAAAATCGGGGCTTTTTTGCGGAAAAGCGCATCTAGATTGGCCACGGACGCTTTTCTGCAAAAAGTGCTTTTGCGGAAAAGCATCCTGTCAATCTAGACGTGATTTTCCAAAAATGCTTTTAACGGAAAACTTTTCCGTTAAAAGCATTTTCGGAAATTCATGCCAGTGTAGACGTAGCCATTGTGTTTACCTAGGTGCTCTCTATATTGATCTGTTGTGTTCAACATGTGTTCTTGCCTTGTAGTAAACAAGTTGCCAAAAAATGTGTATAGACTGAATCTGCCCTGGTTTCCTCTATGTTCAGGTTTGTGTAGCTCCATTGGAGATAGTGGAAAATGAAGTGACACAGTGAAGAATAAAGCTGTAAGGCTACAAAAGCTTAACATGAAAAAAATGAGCAGTGTCATTTGCATGTGTCATACTATCCAGTTAAGGAAAAAATGAAGAAACAGGCAGTATTATTATTGCTATATGTATTATCATAGAACCAGTTGGTTTGGCTAAAAATGCTCAGTGAAGAACATAAGGGCCAGACCGTGAAAAGCTGGCGAGTGTCACCTCTGAGATCAAGAGTTTACACTAGCTCCTACTTAGATCCATCTGTGACAAGGGCACACAGCAGCTTTCATGAAGCATTTAGATTCTCAAATGATCAAGACACATGTACCTCTTTTTCTGGGGTTATCTTATAAGTAAATATATATATATATATATACGTGTGCTGTCTCTCACATACAAAATATAGCTGATTTTAAGGAGCTGAATATGTTAAACAATTTATTATGAATTCTAACTATGAGAGACCCAAGACAGCATTAATGTAAGATATTGTGAGTGGAGAAAATACATAAGGAAGTATTACTTACTCTTTCTTATAACACAAGAACTAGGGGTCACCAAATTACATTAATACGCTGCAGAGTTCAAACAAACAAAAAGAAGTATTTTTTCACACAATGGACAATCAAGTGAGAGGATGTTGTGAAGGCCAAGACTATAATAAGGTTAAAAAAAGAACTAGATACATTCTTGAGGGTTGGGTCCATCAACGGCTACTCACCAGGATGGACAGGGATGGTGTCCTTAGCCTCTGTTTGCCAGAATCTGGGAATGGACGACTGGGGATGGTTTGATGATTACCTGTTCTGTTCATTCCGTGTGGCACCTGGCATTGATCATTGCTGGAAAATAGGACACTGTACTAGATGGACCTTTGGTCTGACCCAGAATAGCTGTTCTTATGTTCTTACAACCACCAGAATCAGAGGTTGAAAAGAAACTCCCCTTTTTATACGAACAAATGATCATTAGAATAATAAGAAATAAGTAAAGAAAGGGACACAGCTTACTTTATAACAAATATATATATGATCTGTAAGCTAGAAGTAATATACAACATTCTTCTCTTCAATTTTGTTTTCTTTTTGGTTTTTTCTTCTTTTCTAGCTGGCTACTACAGCTAGCTCCTGACTGATATTTTGCCAAACAAAAAAGGAACCTATCAGATACATTCAGTACAATGAAGGAAAGCAAGCCCACTTGTAGTATGTCTTTTCTGCAATTTAACACCCTTGGGTAGCCTGTGTCAGATTTGTCAGGTGTGCCAGGTTCTGGGACTCTAGGAAGAAGGGTCCCAGAACTTGAGTTCTAGACTCAGTCTTAGTTTTATATACCACAGTTTTATAGCCCCTCAGCCTGTGTTCCATGAGCCCTACTCAGCTGCAGTGGACTAGCCATGGGTGTTTAATTTCACTGTTGTGCCATGCCCCAGGTAGATTTGCTTTTCCTCATTGTGCTGAATGTATCTGTTTGAGCACTGCTGTGAACTGGAGCTGAAAATATGAATGGGGATTTGCGGGTGTGAGAGGGAGATGTAAGATACTGAAAGTGATTTCTGTTGAACACTGTGGCCAAGTTTTTCTTAAATTTTTCATCAGATTTTAGGCTCCTAAATCATATTTGAATACCTAGTTTTTCAAAGATGCTGAGCATACTGCCATTACTATGGAAATCAATACATATTTGGCCTATTTGTTGCTGATGTGAACAAATCAGATCCATTATGAACTCTGGGATTCTTAGGGCTACAAACAGTTCTAAGATGGTGTTTTTAAAAGAAATTCTGGGAAAATACTTCCAGAAGACAACACTTCTAAACATATCCCAGTATGGCCCTAATGTACTGGCAGCTCCTGAACTGCCAAACTTACTCAAAGTTTCAAGAGGTATAGTGAAGTATGACAGACTGGCAACAGTGATGCATTCATATCTTAAATTATGGCACATTTTGAAAGAGCCTTAGCTAAATTAAGATGTGCTTGGAAATCTGGCATTAGAAAGTTCATAACTGCTTCATAACTAGATTCCATAAGAGACAACATTAAGCAATTGGCTAAGGATCTGAGATCCAAACTAGTACTAAATCCAGCTTTTTATCGAAGGCTGTAGTCACCGCCCCATAGTTAATGTTGAATTCTGTTTGGCATGTAAAGCAAGAATTCAGCCTCCTTGTTTTGCAGAAAAAATGCAGCAAATCTTCCCCATGAGTACAGAATGTACTCTTTGAGTATGCCATTAATTTACTGATATTTTACAAATAAATCTGTTCAATAGTTTGTAAATTAAAAATAATTAAAAATAGGTCTTTTCAGAAAAAGTAATATATAGGTGTGTTTGTCCCAAATAATCATAACAGAATACCCACCAGGGGAGCCGATATCCTGCGAGGGTATCTGAGCAAGTTGGGGGGGAACAGCCCCATGCTCCCAAAAGTGTTGGGGCCGCATGTGGAAGAGGAAAGGTCGGGGGCAGCCAGCCTTCCACGCCACTCAGAGCGCAGCTTCCCCACCCCAGTCTTTGGAGCTGCATGGGGCACATAGCATGGCACAGTCTGGCATGGTGTTCCATCAGCCATTTAAAGGGCCCAGGGCTTTGGCTGTAGCTGCAAGGCCCTGAGGCAACTGCCTCCTTTGCTCTCCTCCATCAGCAGACCTGAATACCACAGACTTTTCAAACCTTCCATGTACAGTAGACTTCCGATAATCCGGAATATCTAGGGGACCTAGGTGGTGCCGGATTATCAGATATGCCGGACTATCAGGAGGTACTATAAACTGGTTTTATATATATATATATATATATACACACACACACACACACACACACACACACACACACACACACACTGTATACTGTATACATTATATACTGTATACTGTATACATTATATACTGTATATAAAGTGTTCTTAACCCTTTTTATTGTACATACTGTATACAGTACACTGTAATGTTTTAGTTTTTTAAAGCTATTTTTACCCTTTTTGCTCAGTTCAGCTGCTGCCGCTGTTACCTTGTGACTAATTTTTTGCCGAAGCTCACTCACTAGGCTCTTGCCATTTTGATGCCGGACTATCAGGAGTGCTGGACTATTGGATGCTGGACTATTGGAGTTTTACTGTAGTTAAAATTAATTGAAATCCCGTGCATAGGGTATATTTGAAATAAATTAGGCTTCAATTAAGCTGCTATTAATCATTTTCATATCTAATTGTTTAGAGAAACTAAAATAGCATTATATCAATTAAGAAATACCTCAAATAACTCTTGAGTGAGGGCAATTGTGACATCAGAAATAACTCAACCAATCACCACACATACTGTACAGCTAATTTGCATTTTAAAAGCCTATTGATGGTAATGATTAAGAGGTTCATAGATTCACATAGTCTAAGGCCAGAAGGATCATCTGGTGTGATGTCGCATATAGCAGAGACCATAGAACTTCCCGCAAATAATTCCTAGAGAAGATACTTTAGAAAAAAATCCAGTCTTGATTTAAAAATTGCCAATGATGGAGAATTCACCATGATCCTTGGTAAAGTATTCCAATGGTTACTTACTCTCATTTTTAAACATTTATGCCATATATCTTGCTGAATTTGTCTAGTTTAAAATTCTAGCATTTGGATTGTGTGATACTTTTCTTTGCTAGTGTGAAGAACCATTATTAAGTGTTTGTTCTCCATGTAGGAACCTACAAACTGCAATTAAGTCACCACTTAGCCTTGTCTTTGTTAGTTTGAACTCCTTGCGGGTTTCGCTATATATAATCATTCTCATGGCTCGGTCTCTGAACCCTTTCAAATCTATCAACATCCTTCTTGAATTGTGGATACCAGAACTGGACAGGGTATTCTGAAGCAGTCAAACAAGAGCCAAATACAAATGTAAAATGACCTTTCTACTCCTAGTTAAATCACCTTTTTATGCATCCCAGGATTGCATTAGCTATTTTGACCACAGCTTCACTTTGGGAGTCAAGTCTTCTGATATGTTGAGGGGAAGGGGAGGGGAGGGAGGAGCAACTCTAAAGCATTTCTAAAGGGCCTAGGGTTCCAGCCACTGGCACCCAGAGCCTTGGGCCCTTTAAATCACCACCAAAACATCACACAGCCACTCTGGGTGGCTGTAAGGGCTGGGGGTGGAGGCGCTGCACTCTAGGCCTCACTAAGGGCTGGGAGGTAGGGGGAGGAAGAGCATCAGGGCATGCTTACTGCCCTCACCCCACCCCTTCACCCAAAGCACCACCCCTTTTGCCCAGTGGCCCTTGTGGGATCCCTTGCTGGAAGCTGATTATACACTGTGCCTCCCAAATCTTCCTTCATAGTCACTGCTTCCCACGCCTTCATCTTATATGTATGGCTTGCATTCTTTGTTCTCAGATTTATATATTCACACTTAGCCACATTAAAACACATATTGTTTGCTTCATTCAAACAAACTATAAGTGATATAAGTGTTCTGAATCAGTGACTATTATTTATAATTCCTCCAATTTTTGTGTCATCTGCAAACTTTATCAGTGATGATTTAATATTTATTTTCAGGTTATTGACAAAAACATTAAATAGTGGAAGGTTAAGAATTGATCCTCACAGGATACCAATGGAAACAGATTCACTCAATGATGATTCCTCATTTACAGTTACATTTGATATCTATCAGTTAGCCAGTTTTCAATGCACTTAACATGTGCCACAATAATTTTATATTGTTTTGGGGTTTTAATCAAAATGTGGTGCAAAAGCAAGTCAAATACTTCATGGAAGTCTATTATGTCAACATTATTACTTTTATTATCCAAACTTCTAATTCCATCAAAACTATATTTGGCTAGTTTGACAGATATAATTTCCATAAACACATGTTGATTTGCATTAAATACATTATTCTTCTTTGAGTCTCTAGTATTCAAGTCCCATATCAGATGTTCCATTATCTTGACTGCAATTTATGTCAGGTTGACATGTTTATAATTATCTGGGTCATCCTATTTACCTTTTTAAAAATGGCACATTTTCTTTCTTCCAGTCTTCTGGAATTTCCTCACTGCTTTAAGACTTATAAAAAAATCAATGCTAATGGTCCATCAAGCTCCTCAGCCAGGATGCAAAAATTTCTGGATGCAAGTTACAATGATTTAAAAATGTCTAATTTGAATAGCTTCTGTTTAACATCCTCCAGAAATAGTAATGGAATAGAACACTTCTGCCTTTTGTGCATTCTTTTTGCTAATTCTACTATTTCGATGTAGCAAAGGATCAATACCATTCTCAAGATTCTTTTTGTTCCTAACATCCTTTTAAAAGTCCTTCTTATCATTAACATGGCTAGCCATAGATTTTTGTCCTTTGGCTTCTCTTATTAATTTTACACAATTTTTAACTTGTAATTTATATTCATTACTGTCATCTTCCCCTTTCTTGCACTTGGTATGGGTGTTTGTGTAAATGAAGACAACAGAAACTATAGTATATGTTATATATAGCTGCCTTCATTTCTTCTCTAAACCAACTTAAAAAAAACTCCAACATGGCCTAGTTCTATAATTATGGGGTTGTGCCAGCTGATTTGGCTTACATCAAAACACCATATATTACCATATATTACTGGTTTGGACTTTTATTTTGCTTTAACATTATAAATGTGATCACATCATGATCATTTGTATCTAAACTACTGTTAACTTTTAGTTCTCTGTTCCATTCTTCTTGATCTGTTAGGACATAGCCTAAGATAGAATCCTCCCTGTCAGCCACAACACTTACTAAATTAGGAGACTGTCATTTGTAATGACTGGAAATGCTAAAGATGTTTAGGTTCTGGCATCATCAAACCTCCAGAATATGTAACTCAACTCCAAGTTCCCCATGATCACATAGGGCTGTTTCCCCTACTCATTATAGACAAGTACATAAAGGATATTGTCATCCTGTGCCCTAGTGTGATTTGGTAGTCTGCAGCCGACCCCAGCTAATACCTCATCTTGTGTTGAGATGCTGATCTATAAGCATTCAAGACCATTTTCTTTTGAGTTATCAGTGAGCCAGAAACAGGTAATGCCATTTTTGATGCAGCACACCACTCCCCTTCTCCTTTTCCTCATTTGATTTTTTCTAACTGTTAAAATGATTTTAGGTTATGCTTTTAACATTCCAATAACCTAAATAAATCCACCAGGTTTCCTTAATACCATCTAGCTCCAGTTTATGCTCATAAATGAACAATTCCAATTCCTTTTGTTTATTATGTGGGCTTTTATATTGGTGTATAGGTAATCCAAGATTTCCTTCCCTTCATATTAATTGGCTTCTTGATTAATTTTGTTTTCAGCATGTCAATGTTGTGCTAACTGAATGCTTGTATCATACCTCTTTTTGCCCTCCTCAATTTACTCTTAATGGTAAGATGGGGACAGTACATCTGACAAGTGTTCTCGCTGGTAGAGTAACTGGTTCATCCATCACTGCTCTTTAAAGACTCTGTGGTTGTAATTTGCAATGTTTGGAGATCAGTACTTGGAAAGCTCCTCAGCACTCGGGTCTCCATTGTGCAGTGACAGAGGCAGATTGTCAGCTGCAGTTCATTGAAGTCAATGGAGCTATGACAATTTACAGCATCTGAGGATTTGCCCCCTCAGGCTACTGTGGGAAGATTGCAGGGGAAGCCTTCAAAGAACAGAGACATTGCAATTTGGCCATTGGCCTACCTTCACTCCTTCCTATAACATGAAGATCATGAACAGCCCTCAAAACCAGTGAGACAGTTGTGAGTTCAGGGTTATATGCAAGGGAACCTTTAAGCTCTTGCAGCTGCAAATCTAACTTTTCTGGTTGGTGCTCTCTCTATGCTTTGCACTGCTCTAGAGTACTCAGGGGCATACACAGGAATTTAAATGTAACACCATTACTCTGTGAGCCCACTGTGGCCTCAGAGCTGGAGGAGTTCACTCTCCCCATCACAGATCCTGGGCCGAAGCAGCAGTCAGTTCCTTCTGAGGCCTTTAAGACCGGCAGAGTTCCCTGTTCCTGCTGCATACCCCAGGGTTGAAGGAGCTTTCTGCTCCCACTATGGCCCTATGGCTGGACGAGCTTGCTGTCCCTGCCCTAGCCTCAGCACTGCAGGGGCTCTCTTTACCCTTATGCATGCCCCAAGTCTATTGGTGAATATGGGCTTAAAAGCTGAGATTTTAAAAAATGGGTTAAGGTTGATGATAAATATCTTCATATCAGCAAAAATATTGCACCATCTTTGGGTTTCTCATTTAGTGTTTATATATACATTTTTAATTAATAGAACAAACAGACAAAAAGGAAAATGTCTAGACCCAAAAGTGCATTAAAATGGAGTTAAGGTTGAGAGTACTTATAAGAAACTTAAGGGTAAAAGAACATTATAGGGTTGTTGTATTTATATCAGAACCATATAATGCAAGCCTAAGAACTTCAGAATTGGGGGTTATAGTTAAAGGAAATCCACACATTTTACAGTAATGAAATATACCATTCAGGCATCTCAATAACCTTGACTCTGCCCTGTAGTAAAACTACAAGGCTTTGTCTACACTGTGAGTATTTGTGGCAGAAAATATGCTAATGAGGGACTCATTAGCATAAGTCACGATCTCAATAGCATATTTTCAAGGTTTTTTTTAGCAAAAAGAAGCAGTGTAGGGAGTAAAGAAATATATTGGACCTCAGCTATGTCTATACTGCAGACTTCTTGCACAAGAACTTTTTGAGCAAGAGTGCATCCCCACTGCCATGTGCTTTTGTGCAAGAGATGTGCTTTTGCACAAGAGCGTCCATGGCAGTGTGGATGTTCTCTTGCGCAAGACATCTCTGATGGCTATGTTAGCCATAGGGGTTTCTGTTGCCTGTCCACACATGCCTTTTTGCGCAAGACCTCTTGACACGAAAAGGCTTATTTCCTGTAGAAAGAGGAATAACTCTTGCACAAAAAGCCCTATGTTCTTAAGATTTACTATACTTTTTCTTGTGCAAGAATGTTCTTGTAGTGTGGATGCTCCGCAAGTTTTTGTGCAAAAACTTTGCAGTGTAGACATAGCCCCAGTTGGAATTGTAGAGTAAATCTAAATAGGCAGACATCAATTACCTGAATTCAAATTTGGCAAAGGCACCCCCAATCTTACAAACATGTCTTTTTTAAGAGATTTGTTTATAAAAATAATGTTCTATACTTTACAACAGCTAAAGAATTCTCCCTCAGACTGGATTACAACTTGATTTTCTCAAGGTTTAAATGTCACAAAAATTAATTCATTGTATGAAACAATTCCATTTAAAAACTGTATCGGGGGTAACCATGTTAGTCTGAATCTGCAAAAGTGACAAGGAGTCCTGTGGCACCTTAGGGTATGTCTACACTACCCCGCTAGTTCGAACTAGCGGGGTAATGTATGCATACCGCACTTGCTAATGAAGCCCGGGATTTGAA